ACTCTTTATTCTCCTGAAACTCATTAAACATAACTCTTTATTCTCCTGAAACTCATTAAACATAACTCTTTATTCTCCTGAAACTCATTAAACATAACTTTTTGTTCTCCTATCAGTGTTAAGTCTGTAGGCTTATAACGCTAAAAACTTGTTTCGATACCCGTGGTGGGCATAGCAGAGATAGCCCATTGTGTAGCTTTGAGCTTAACAACGAGCAAAGGAACTTTCTATTCGACAAACTGTTATTTAGCATTGGAATCTTTTTTTGGCAATTCACGTATATATATATATGATTTGCTCAAACTCTCGTAAACTATACTATAAAAACCAAGTTAACGGTTACAACTGTTATCCATCTAGTGCCTAAATGTCCCTAACAGACATTAGATTTTAACCGTTAACTTGGTTTTTATAGTATATTTGATCTGTTATCCATCTAGTCCTAAATGTCCCTAACAGACATTAGATTTGTCTAAAAATGGAGAATAACTTTAATGTGATTACTTGGAAGAAAACTTACATGTTTCGATCTCTTCTCTGTGCGTTGCTGCCAACTTAGAGGTTAGTTCTTGTATTTCGTCCTCATGATTTCGCTTTAATTGCTCTAAGTGCGTTTCGTAACGTCCTAGAAAAACGACAAAAAAAAAGAAAAGCAGTGTTTTTCTTCGTCTTTATTATTAAACTTTTATCGTGCTTCGAGTTATATCCTAGTCCAACGTTTCCCAAAGTGTGGGGCGCGAGCGATTACGGTAGAGTCAATAGTGCAAAATTAGGCGTTTTAATATATTTTCAATTAATGAAAATAATTATAAATTACTCCAACACATATATCATTTTAATGTGCATCCGCGTATTATACCTCGTCTCTTAACTCAATCATTTAAAAGAATGGGGGAGGGGCGCAAGAAAATATATTTATTAAAAGGGGAGCGTGGATGACAAAAGTTTGGGAACGCTGGCCTAATCACTACCGCAGAACGTATACCTGAGCAGAGTAAAATAGGTCCATTCTGTGACTTTGTCACTTCTTGTTCTACCTCATTTTATAACCGTTTTACGTTTCCCACACTAAGATGAATGAAACGTTTATCCGACCGCTACCAGCATTATACTGCCTTGTTATTGTGTTACTCCAAAGTAACAAACGCCATCTGCAACAACTAGACAAAACGTCAGCGATTCACGAGATAAGATATTCACTAATCCGAGTGCTCGTGAAGAGTAGACTTTTTCTTCCCGATTTCTTCCGAAAACGCTCGGGTTATCGGTATTATTCGGCGAGTTACGAGTCATTATAAGAGATGTGGCCAATGCTAATTCTCACACACTGAGTTTTATTGTTGTTTTTAATTCTGTAACGTAAACTACTAACAGGGCTTTGCAAGGTTATTTTTATTTTAAAATCACATGTAATATTTGAATATTCTTGTCTCTGGTTTTTTAGGAACTGAAATAAAAATCTTGAGAAAGAAAAAAGAATAAATAGGCAGGATCTATATCTGGTAAGTAAAATCCTGTTCAAAACTCTGCATTTCTTTGTATCAGTGGAGCAGATTTCTAAGTGGGCGTGCTTCTCTATTGCATTGACTGGTTCCCGCTGGAGGACAACAACAACATCTTGATCTATATGTGGTAAGTAAAATCCGGTTCAAAACTCTGCATTTCTTTGTATCAGTGGAGCAGATTTCTAAGTGGGCGTGCTTCTCTATTTCATTCACTGGTTCCCGCTGGAGGACGACAACAACATCTTGATCTATACTTATAAAAGTAAAAAAAAAAAATATGTTTGTTTGTTCGCGAACTACTCCGTGGATTTTAGACCAATCTCAACCAAACTTAGAAGTATGATAAACTGGACCATGGGGCATATCATAGAATATGTTTGTTTAGCTAGTAACTCCACGGACCATGTCTACAGTTAAAATATGTTTGTTTAACTAGTAACTCCACAATTATGGACCAATTTTTATTCCCTTTTTTTCTCTCTCTCTTATAAGTTCTGATTTTCCTTTATTTAAAATGTCAAACATTCACATTTTTTTCCAGGAAAAATGGCAACCAAAGTATAAGGTCAGACCCTTTAAAGTGGCAGGGGTACGTCTGAAAATCTCTTGGTTTCCACATGGTCAGTTCTATGTTGGGCGTTTAAGAATAAGATCATCAAGAGATCTCTTTATTTTGGCCCAAGAAAGAGGAAGAACTTCTAAGGTGGTCTATCAAGAAGCACTTAGAGTATCAACAAACACTGGGGCTCGAGAGAGGAATTAGTAAAAATAAAATAATTGTAACACCATTTCCGTATGAAATATAACAGTTGTAAAGTAAATTATGTGTGAAATAAATTATGTGTAAAGTAAATTATGTGTGAAATGAATTATGCATATAAATACAAGTTCTTGATCTAATTTATTAGTTCAAGCCCTACATTTAATCCTTAATCTCCTGGAGGTAGGACGTATCATGGGCGTTCGCGGGGGTGGGTGTTAGGGGCAAGGAGAGCACTTTGCCTCCCCCCCCCCCGGAAAATGAGATACATAATTCTTTCTTTATTCATTCAGCATATATTTTTTTTATCACTTCACACTACTCCCCCCCCCCTTGGAAAAAGTTCTGCGAACGCCTTTAGGACGTTAATAATAACATAAATATTTTCATCTACTTACTAAGTTG